AGCCATTTTTTCCTGGAAAGTGAAAAAATAGAATAGGAAGAAAATGCGAGGAACTTAACCGGAAAGAGTTTTGGGCAAGGCTACACCACTCCTAACAAGACCACTTATTTATGTTACCTCTCGATCATCAAGACAAGAGAACCAAACCAATCAAATGTCTGAAACTGAAGTTACCCTTCAAAAGTTCGATGTCTTTCTGAGTTTCAATGGAGACGATACTGGTCGTAACTTCATCAGTTTTCTCTTCACAGAATTGATAAAAAAGAATGTTAAAATTCCACCCTTCAAATATGACCGGCAGATATCTCCGGAGCTCGAACGCATATCGCCTGAGCTCGAACGGGCCATTGGGGGTTCTAGATTCGCCGTCGTTGTCGTCTCTGAGAATTACTCTGCTTCTCCTTGGTGTCTGGAAGAGCTTGTGAAGGTTATGGAATTCGTAAGAGAGGGTTCGATCACCGTGATACCCGTCTTTTACGACGTGGATCCGTGCCATGTGAGGAGGCAGATTGGGAAAGTCGCTGAACACTTCAAGATGCATGAGGGTAGAGAAGACCATGAGAAGGTGCTTTTTTGGAGGCAAGCATTGAAAGATTTGGGGAATGTCTCCGGCATCTGTTCATCTAAATGGTAAAATTTCAGAACTTTTTACAAGTTTTACTATTACATAAAGTTATATTGAACTCGTGAACTATCAGCAGCATAAATTTATATTTGAACTTGTTTATCTACGAATTAATATTATATCTTTGAAAGTAACGGCTCTATACATATATCAAAATCTTCGATGATAAAATTCGAGTTTTACTAAAAAAAAATTATTAATTCGATTCTAAAGTTTCGATTTTTTTTTTTTTTTGGGTCTTTAGGGAAGATGACTCAAAGATAGTAGACAAAATTACTGAGCTGATATCAAAAAATCTGATGATTGATACAACAAGAATTAATGGGAGTGACCTTCAGGGGATTTATGCACACATGAAAGCTTTTAACCGATTATTGAATTTGAGCTCTAAGAAAAGTGTAAGAGTGATTGGGATTTGGGAGAGAGGAAGCAAGAAAAGATCGGTTTTAGCTAAATTTGTTTATCAGAACATTCATCAACACTTTGAAAGCCATTTTTTCCTGGAAAGTGAGAAAATGGTTTATAAGGATCGTCACATGTTGCATCTCTTTGAAGAGAGGATGAGTCAATTAAGAGTCAAGAACAAAAAGGTTTTGCTTGTGGCTGACGACATCAAAAAGCTTGAACAGTTCGATGCTCTTGCAGATAATTTCAACAATTTTGGTCCGGGGAGTATAGTTATCATCACTACACAAGACAAGCAGGTGCTTTCCTCTTCAGGCATAAATCTTGTTTATGAAGTAGAGTTTCAGAGATTCTTGGAAGTTCATGGACATTTCAGGCAATTAGCCTTCAAAGAGAAAGACATTTCTGCTGCGTTCGATTTGTCTTTGTATAGGGCAACAAATCTTGCAAATGAATGTTTTGGTTATCTACGTGGTGGATCACAAGATCTGGTTCGCCGGAATCAGTTTATAAAGCAAAGTCCCATTATTTTTTCAGCAGTAGCTACTTGTTTTTTCTCTCCTTCATGTTTTGGGTACTTTTATTTTGCTTCCCTTTTGTGTACTAAGGCTCTTTTGTAATTGGTTTCAGTTCTTGGTAATATAAAATGGTCTCTCTTTTGAAAAGAAACAAAAGAGGTTAAAGAATGACAAAGAAAAGTATAAGACTTCAAATTTCGAACCTAAAATGACTTCTTTTTTTTGTTAACAAACTTCAATAAGATTGGCTTAAATAAGCCAACTGGAGGGACAATTGTTTACAAACTTGACCAAATACGGAAGGGCACGCACATTGCGGGCCAAACTATACGTTTTTACATTTGCATTTCTTGCAATAAGAGATAGAGAAAAAAATGAGAACCTAAAATGACTAACATGGGAAAAGCATGAAATCTCTGATCTTCTTTTCCTCACTGTCACTGAGTTTGAGAGTTTTGCGTCCACTTAGCTTAGATCAAAGATCGAATACAACATATATACAAGCAACATTTCCAAAACAACTGGTACATATGTATATACAAGCAACATTTCCAAAATAACCGGTACATATCTAACGTTATCTACAACCAAAGTAGCCCAACATAGTCCTCATAGATGTTACGCAGACACAAACTAACTATTTCTCATCGAAAAAGAAATGTAAAGTAGACTGCGTCTCTTTAGGTTTCTTAACGTTAGACTTTCCCTTTCCTTGCTTCCTTCCGCATCTCCCACTGCTTGTAACATCTTGCAACCTCTCACAATGTTTCAGTGGCTTTTCTTGAGCTGAGAATACATCATAGTCTCGCTTTGTCCCCGTCTTTTTTGCAGACTTCTCGCAAAACTCTAAGCCACCTAGCATCGTGTTTGCCCCGGTCTTTTCTGCAGACTTCTCGCTAAACTCTAAGCCACCTTGCATCGTGTTTGCCCCAGTCTTTTCTGCAGACTTCTCGATAAACTCTAAGCCACCTAGCATCGTGTTTGGCCCAGTATTTTCTGCAGACTTCTCGCTAAACTCTAAGCCACCTTCCTTTGTGGTCTCGTCACTTAAAGCTGCTTTCTGGTTTTCATTTCCTGGTTTATTATCTTCAACAGCCTCGTGTGGCTGATTCAATTCCTCATTTGTGGTAAACTGATGATGGCCTTGCGTCTCGGGTTCCTCTTTCGGGATTATAGGGAGATCAAGGTTGTGGGATCCAACTGGTAGGTTGTCATTGCTTGCACTTGTTTCTTTAGTAAGACCAGTCTTTATGGATTTCTTTTCTCCATTTCTATCCTCCTCAACTTCATCCTTTACACGTCCGGGATGAAATGCAACAAATGGTTCTGCTTTCACAGTCTTTGGAAAATCCAGATTTCTGGTTTCATTCGATACATCTTTCTCCTCGCCTAATTCTTCAATTTTCTTAATGCTGTCAGGAAATACAGCCCCATCATGACCTTCAACCGTAGGTTCCTCTTTCAAACCACCTGTGATATCTGTTGATGCGGTTTCTTTGTCTGTTTTGGGATGCTTTGTTGAGAAAAACTTCGAGATCAAGCTATTTTGTGAAGCCTTAAGCGTTATCTGCAAGTGGCATAATCCGTATTTATAAATGACGATAAGCGTACAGATTGAAACAATACAGAATGGAGAGAGTTCCAAGATATGATCCTGACAATAACATGACTTGAAATGCAATTATCGACCTTTAGTTGTACACTAACAAAGGGAATCTGGTTAACAGTACCTGTTGAATACATTCTGGTCCATCAAACGTTGGTTTACCAATTGCAGAGGTTACTGGATACCATACCTGAAAGTTCATCTTAAGTATGTGAAAAAGGAAAGAACATTATAACATAGAAGCCAGAAACAAAGTAAACTCACCAAATCCGATTTCTCATATGGTGAAAGTAACGGCTGCAGTTTTGTCGTCGATGGATCATCTAGCCATGTGTCGACAGAATCCTTGTCACCAAGAATTACTGGCATTCTGTCTTACGTGAAAAATAAACGAATCTCACATGTCAACTAAATTAACAAAACTTTCTCCAACAGAATCTTATAATGTGAACTTTGAATAAGAAACGCAACAGTCCTTATTAGTCTAAGACCAACTATTATTACATTGAATCAGGATTGATCCAACTATTATTAATACATTGCATAAACAGCCTTTACTTATTTTTCCTTTTATACCAGTCCCTTTAGCAGTTTAGCAGCAGTTCAAGATTCTTTTGCAGCAAGACTCGTAACTACAAAAGTATCTTTTCTAAAGAAGCTTATCAAATTAGACGTAACAAGAAAACAGAAACAATTCAATACTAGTATGATACTTGAAGTTCATATCTTTCTTAATATACGAACACAAGTTTCAGAGGTTCCACGGAGGATAAATAATTCCCAACTTCATATGCTATGTGCTACTGAGAATCTTTAGTGGATATGAATTAAGAAATATATCTCATTTAAGAAAAAGCCTTCCAAGATAGCTAGTGTATTCATTACTTACCATGGAGCCAATGGAGGGATGAAGAGGAAGCAGTTGTCAAAATCGTGAAGGTGTAAAGTGTCTCACCTGCAACAAAAATAGTAACATTTACTTAGAGTCAAAGCATCTGAGAAATTTTAGCTACCAAAAAGGGCCTTAACCAAAGAAGATCAAACCAACAGGTCTTTAAAGTGCTACTTCACTTTTCTAATACACATAACTCAAAACTTTTCAAACATCTGTGAAAAAAAAGGATATTGAAAGTCTAAGAAATGTTTCAGGATCAGCTTCAAAAAGAATAGCAACAGAGTTTGGAATAAAACAAGATAGAATGCTTCACCTCCCGAGTTCTGCCAAGAATCAAAAAGAGCAGCAAATACGAGTGGCCTCCCGTCCTCGAAATGGATATAGTAGGGTTGCTTTTTTGAACCTTCCTTTTTCCACTCATAGAACCTTCAAAATGAATCTAACTCTAAGTTCTTTTGAATACTTTAAATACACATCGAAAGATAGTAACAGAACAATTGCTTTTGAAAGAATGCTCACAAAAAACAGAACTCAATAACAAAACATTAACCTTAAAGATTGATTACACAAAGTCAAACATTGCTGATCAGAATTAAAACATTTCTTTTTGTAATTTGGGAATTAAGACATAGATTGAACATAAATGATAGAATACTGAAAAGAGAAGATAATAGATACCCATCAACTGCAACAAGGCACCTATTCTTGGGAAGCAATCGACGAAAAGAAGCTTTCTCCGCTACCGATTCAGACCGAGCATTAAACTACAAATTCACATAAACAAGCACATCTTCACTATATAGTCATCAATCAAAGAAGCAGGTGCAATAAACTTCTTTGACAATCAAATTTTGCAACTCAAAACAAAACCCACCAAAGAAGTAAAAGTGATACCATTTTGAAAAAGTCAGGCTTATCAGTTTTCTTAGTGAAACCTGGGACTAATCCCCACTTCATACAATGAACAACAACACCATCACCAACTACTTCATTGTCTCTTCTTAAAACAGGCATATAGGAACCAGGGGCAACATTGTAAGATGGACGATAACTGATTAACAACAAAAAGGAACGATTTTTAGAGAGTTCAGAGGCTTAAAAATTGAAACTTGTAACTGAGAAAAGAGAAAAGACCGGTCGGTGTGAAGGAATCGGGTTTGAACGCCGTGGCGGTGAGAAGCTCTTGGGACATCGTCTGGTCTTAAAGTACAGCGAGTCCTACCGCACATCTTTACTGGTTTTGGTCGGAAGATGTAAAACCCTAATATGACCGCTTGAGTGAAAGTGTGAAACTGAAGGATTTGGTTAAAAGATCACCGGAGAGAAGATTAAGTCTTTCACTGTGGTTAACCGACCGATGATGACTCGACCTTCGTGTGTTTTTTTGTTTTTTTACTTCTGAAACGTAATTAAACCAAACCGAACCAAATTTTTGGTTTTTGATTTGGTTTCGGTTACTAAAGGTAAACCGATCGGAAGCTTTGTAACTGAAATCGGTTATCAGTGAATTTTTGGTTCGGTTTACGCGAACCGGACAATTAACTGAAGAAAAACAAAATCCCTGTGTAATTAGTCGCTGTCAATTTTTTTTTTTTTTTTGTAAAAGGGTTTTCAATTAAAAACTTATGCCATATGGGCTTACATATTTCCGGATTATGCCCATACTAAAACCTAATAAGGCCCAATCCATTACATTAAACCAAACTAAACCAAACTAAATACAAAACCGATCCGGTTTCACAAAACCGAAATTACCGGTATCTGTCAAAACCCTAATCTACAATCGCAAAACACGATGTAGACGCCGTCCAAAGACTGCAGATGCACGCCGGAACATGACCTCCGATGTGCTTGGACGACGCGGATTGAACGGAGTAGGTGATCCAGGATCAGTATGCCTCTCCACCACCGTAGAGAAGATTTGAGGAAGAGGAAGAAATCGATCTGTTTTTCCGTCGAGAAGGCTTCGGGCTCCGTCGTGATATTGAAGGCGGTAGGGAGTAGATCTAGGTTCCATCGACAGTGGCTTAGCTTCATGCGGCCGGAGTCAATCTCCCCCATCAAGCGGCGGCCACAAGAAACCTCCAGGATCGCTAGATCCTAGATCTAACCGTCTTCTCTCTCAGTCTTCACCGTGAAGTCTTCCTCTTCCACTCTGCGCCGCTACACCATCGAAGAGCTCGTCGACGGTGACTCGCAGAAGCTTTCCCTCTCCCCTTCTCCCTTGATTTTGTTTAGTTTGTGAAGCCGAGAAGAAGCAATAGATTGCGGATGAAGCGCCATGGACCATGGGTTCCTCATCGACGCCGGAATCGCCAGAGGAACCTTTCACTTGGTGCAAGAGATTTTGATCAGAAGAAGAGAAATGGAGGAGAGAGCAGCGAGTAGATCTCACGCGTCCTTCTCTCTCTAAAAAGTTTTTTCTTCGTGAGGCATCATGCTATCATTTTTTTTGGATCTTCACTCAATTCATCTTCCTTGCATTTCTTCTTTTTCTTCGATGGTCGGATCTCCTCTTCGCATCAGCCATCGTTTAACTTTTTCTGGATTTAGGATTACTCGCGTGGCTATGTTGAAGTTTTCATTCATACAAAAACGTTT